CTCATCAGTGCTCCCAGTGTGCAGTTGGTGCTGGGCTTTCCCTGGCTCCAGCGTCATAATCCCTGTCTGGACTGGTTGAACCGCTCCATCCGTTCCTGGGGTCCCCTCTGCCAGAACTCCTGCTTGCAGAACCCCAGGCCTAGTGGCACAGCTTTAGCCCTGTCTCCCAGTCCAGAAACCCCTGACCTCTCTCGAGTCCCCCCTGAGTACTGGGACCTCCAGGAGGTCTTCAGTAAGAAAAAAGCCCAGTTCCTGCCTCTTCATCGGCCTTACGATATTGCCATTAATTTACTGCCCGGCACTAGTCCCCCTCGGGGCCGGCTATTTTCTCTGTCCGCCCCTGAACGTAAGGCCATGGAGGAATACATCCAAGAGTCTTTAGCCACGGGCGTCATCAGGCCATCCACCTCCCCGGCTGGGGCAGGATTCTTCTTTGTGGGGAAGAAGGATGGGGGCCTGCGCCCCTGCATCGACTATAGAGGGCTCAACAAGATCACGGTGAAGGACTGTTACCCTCTGCCTCTGATGTCCTCTGCCTTTGAGGCAGGCATCCTTCTTTACTAAGTTGGACCTGCGCAGTGCCTACAACCTTATTAGGGTCAGGGAGGGGGACGAATGGAAGACAGCCTTCATTACTCCATCGGGCCACTATGAATATTTGGTCATGCCCTTTGGACTGATGAATGCCCCGGCTGTCTTCCAGCGTTACATCAATGAGGTTCTGAGGGAGGGGCTTGATCGCTATGTGTTTGTTTATTTAGATGACATCTTGATTTACAGCAAGAGTCTAGATGAACACATAGTCCATGTCCGGCGGGTCCTCCAGCTTCTCCTAGATAATCACCTGTTTGTGAAGCTGGAGAAGTCGTTGTTCCATGTTCAGACGGTTGCCTTCCTCGGGTTTGTAGTGTCTCAGAACCGCCTGAGCATGGACCCTGCCAAGATCCAGGCCGTGGCCCAATGGCCCCGACCTACATCACTCCGCCTGATCCAGCGCTTCCTGGGCTTCGCTAACTTCTTCCGGAGGTTCGTAAAGAACTTCAGCTCTGTAGCTGCACCCCTGACCGCCCTCACAAGGAAGACATCTGGGCAGTTTCAGTGGATTCCAGAAGCCCAGGAAGCCTTTGAGGAGATCAAGCGGCGTTTAACCTCGGCCCCAGTGCTGCGGCTCCCCGATCCAGAGCTCCCCTTTGTGGTAGAGGTGGATGCCTCTGAGATAGGCGTGGGTGCTGTGTTGTCCCAGTGGTCTGGTGCTAACCAGAAGCTGCACCCCTGCGCCTATTTTTCTCACCGCCTCTCCCCGTCGGAACAAAACTATGACGTGGGGGACCGTGAGTTGCTAGCCGTGAAACTGGCCCTGGAGGAGTGGAGGCACTGGCTGGAGGGAGCCAAGCATCCCTTCCTGGTTTGGACTGACCATAAGAATCTGGCTTATATCCAGCAAGCCAAGCGCCTTAACCCTCGCCAAGCCAGGTGGGCATTGTTCTTTGCCAGGTTTGACTTTGTATTGTCATACAGGCCTGGGTCGAAGAACACCAAACCTGATGCTCTCTCCCGCCAGTGGGAGCCCTCTCCTCGAGAGCAGTCACCCATGACCATAGTCTCGGCTAGCCGCATAGTTGCCCCCATTCAATGGGGGGTGGAAGCCGTGGTGCAGCAGGCTCTAAGAAATGAGCCGGATCCGGGAGGGGGTCCTCACAATAGATTGTATGTCCCTGCAGCGGTCAGAGACAAGGTGCTGCAGTGGGGGCACTCCTCCCCATTTACTGCACACCCAGGAGTGACTCGCACATTGGAGTTCCATTACCCATCCCCTCTCGCCCATGGTCCCACATCTCCCTGGATTTCATCACAGGGCTGCCGCCATCCCGGGGCAACACTGTGATTTTGGTCATTGTGGACTGTTTTTCTAAGGCGAGCAAATTCATTGCTTTGCCTAAGCTCCCATCAGCCAGGGAGACGGCCACGCTCTTTCTTGAGCATGTGGTTCGGGCACATGGGTTTCCCAGGGATGTGGTATCTGACAGAGGACCTCAGTTCACCAGCCGGTTCTGGGGAGCATTTTGCAAGCTGCTAGGGGCCAGAGCCAGCCTTTCTTCCGGGTTTCACCCCCAATCCAATGGTCAGACGGAGAGGGTGAACCAAGACTTGGAACGTACTCTCCGTTGCCTAGCTTCCACTAACCCTTCCTCCTGGTCAGAACACCTAATGTGGGCGGAATATGCCCATAACACATTGTGGCACTCGTCCCTGGGTATGTCCCCATTTGAGTGCCTCTATGGGTATGCTCCGCCCATGTTCGCCGAACAAGAGAGGGAGGTTGGGGTTCCAGCAGCTGGGCGTCTCGTAGGCCGCTGTCGTCGAGCTTGGCAGCGGGCACGAAGAGCTCTTCAGGCTGCTGCTATGGCTCACAAACGGGCCGCGGATCGACGGCGGCGACCTGCACCGTCTTTCCATCCAGGGCAAAGAGTGTGGCTCTCAGCCAAGGACTTGCCTCTCCGAGTGGAGTCCCGGAAGTTAGCACCCCGGTACATCGGCCCATTTAAGGTGGTCCGTAAGGTGAATCCAGTCTCCTACCGACTGGCACTTCCCCCAACACTCTGCATCAACCCCACATTCCACGTTTCCCGCCTCAGACCGGTCTTATGCAGCCTTGACCAGCCCCCACCGCCGGCTCCCCAGATAATCGATGGGTCGCCCGCCTACACTGTGCGACGCCTTCTCGATGTCCGGCAGGTGCGCGGCTGCACCCAGTATTTGGTGGACTGGGAGGGCTATGGCCCCGAGGAATGCTCGTGGGTCCCAGCTCGCTGTATTTTGGACCCTGAGCTTATCCGGGCCTTCAGGCGGGATCGTGCAGCGGGGTTGGGAACGTCGGGTGCCGTTCCTCGGGAGGGGGGTCCTGTAAGGGTTGGCTCCCGGGCTAGGCCACCGCCGGCCACCAGGGGGAGTCAACGACCCCAATGAGCCACACCTGCTCAGGGGGCTTTATAAGGGCTGGGAAGAAGACACACCTTGCTGAGTCTTTGTTCCAGAATTGTGGCAAACAGACCAGCCGGTAAACTCGGTAAAGAAGCTCTAAGAGGATTTTCCTCGAGCTTCCTTTCTCTTGTCGCGTCTCGAGCCTATCCCCCTTTTCTCGAGTCGTGTCTTTCTTCCTTAAAAAGAGATAAGTAACTAAAACTAGAGAAGGGACAAGTTTGCCCCTTCCTCTTTCCATTCTCCTTTTGGTTATTCCTTTCTGTTGGGAAAGTGTGTTTTTCTTTAGTTATCATTTTCCTCAGTGTTTGAGAGAGCCAGTCTTTCCCCTGGCGTCCTTTGTTTATTTCCCGCCTAAACCTTAGCAGGTGGGCTTTCATACGTCTTTTGTTTTCCACCCGTTTTCGGCGTTCCCTCCGCCTCTATAGAGCAGTGGTAGGGCGCCGGTTTATTAACGTGGCGACGTGGGTTCGAGCCTCGGCGTCCGCGGTTTTGTATATCATTCCAATAATACCTTCCAATCGCATAGAAGCTCAGCGTTTGGGTCCTGCTTTCCAAAACCTTGTGGTGGCTCACCCGGTTGGCCTTTGAAATACCGACCAGACGGCCTGGGTTCTAATCCCACCTCTGGCAAGCCCCCACATTACATGGTGCCTTCACAAATGTGCAAATCATCCATGCCATGTGCACTAATGCTCCCCTATACCATCATGAATACTGGCTTTTGAACTGTGCACTGATAACAAGCTGAGTGGTCTTTAGCCCGGAGGACACAGTGTCCATTATTTCCAAGAGGAATTTGAAATGTTGATTCGTCGGACCACAGGACACTTTTCCACTTCCCCTCAGTCCATTTTAAATGAGCTGGGGCCCAGAGAAGGTGGCAGCATTCCTGGATCCTGTTTATATATGATTTCTTCTATGCATTTTAGAGTTTTAACTTGATATTGTGGATGCAGCGAAGAACTGTGTTCACAGACAGTGGTTTTCATGAGCCCATGCAGTGATTTCCACTACAGAATCATGTCTGTTTTTAATGCAGTGCCACCTGAGGGCCCAAAGATCACGGCCAACAAATACTGGTTTTAGGCCTTGTCCCTTGCATACAGAAATTTCTCCAGATTCTCGGAGTCTTTTAATGTTATTATATACCGTAGATGATGACAAGCGAAAGTTCTTTGTTATTCTTGAATGGCTGCACTATTTGATCATGCAGTCTTTCACAGAGTGATAAACCCCTCCTCATCTTTACTTCTGAAAGACTCAGCCACTCTGGGATGCTTTTTTATATCCAATCATGTTACTGACCCACTGTCCATTAACCACCAGGTGTTTTTTTTTAGGATTACACAACTTTACCAGCTTTTTGATGCCCCATCCCAAATTTTTTGGAACCTGTTGTTGGCATCAAATTAAAATGGGCATATATTTTTCAAAAACCAATAACATTTTTCAGTTTCAATATTTGATATATTGTCTTTGTACTATTTTCAATGTTTGAATGATTTGCAAATCATTGCATTTTGTTTTTATTTACATTTTGCACCGCGTCCCAACTTTCTTGGAAATGGGGTTGTACCTCTTGGTAAAATTACTTACAGGTTGAATAAGCTGGTTATTTTCTTCATCTGGACCTGGATTTTTCCTTTCAGAGTGTGACTCACAGGTCAATAATTTAGGTTTTCCAACTAAGATGTCAATTTTCCTCCTGATTCAAAACCCTAGATGATTCAGTAACCAAGAAAAAGGCCAAAAATCACAAAAGCCTACTCATATAATTATAGCCATGAGTGATCTGTCTTAATCACTGTATGGAAAAATACAGTGAGTATGTATCACTCATTTATAAGGCAGGTGATGTGTCACTGCTTTGCATCCTCTTAGCTGATATTTGAAGTAGACATAGCAAAGAGACAAGGTTTTCTTATTACTATGTTCTATTCGCACTTGAGGGAAGGAGTTTTTCAATGTTGGGAAAGACAGAATAAGCAAAATGGAAATGAAAAATCCACTTAAAACTGATGACCACTTTGTTGGTCATCAGTGACTTGACCTACTCTTTTACAGCACACTTTGACAGTGTTGGTTTCTATTATTTTACAGCAGAGTGTTTGCTGTTTACCATGAGGACCAGTGTTACCTCATGCCTCTGGCTGAATGTGTTCTACTACTGTCAGATTGTTCCAGCTAAACATCCTTTGCTCATCTTGCTGAAAAAGAATATCAAACTTTTTGTTTATTCTGCTTTAATCCTTGACAAGTTCATCTTTTTGTATGGGATTGCTGCTTCTGTTGTGCATCACATGATAACTACACCATACACAGCCACATACCTACACAAGAATGCAGTAAAACATGCAGTTAAAGTTGATTTTTGGTTACGATTAATTTATTTCTTGTTCAGTCTTTGTGTGATGTTGACATCAAGCTGTGCGACTGTTCTCTACCTGCGGAGACACATGAAGAACATGGAGGAGAGCAGCAGATCCTCTCCACATCTTCACTCACAGATGAGGGTGACCATCACGGGAATCGTACAGACTCTCCTTTACTTTCTCTGCTCAGTTTGGCTAATAACTGATGATATTGTTTATCATCTTTCTAGTGCAGATTTTGACTCGAAAGCCTATATCATTTGCACTGTTATTACATTGTACTCTTTTTGGACGAACATTAACTTGGGTCTTGGCCAGTCAATATTCCCGGGAGCGGATACTTCTCTTTTGGCCAAAACCTTTTGAAATTGCCTGTGCCTTACTGCACTGAATGAATGAATCCATGTACTTCCATCTAATAATATATATTTTTTTAACTCTTACATTTGTGTCAACTATGAGACTAATAAAAACACTAATCAAAAGGGTTTTTTTCTTTAAATTCAAAGCATTTTCTCAGATCTTATCTAAGTAATTAAATTCCTATATTAGAATGTGTCGTACTAATATATATCACAGGATATGCAGGATAGACAGATTACGCAAAAAAAAGTGGAGGTATTGGAAGTTTATCTCTTTGACAATACTTTGACAACTTTCATTTTCTCTTTTGTCTTGAGCTTGTTGATGTGATGTATCGCATCACAACATAAAGCATACGGAAACTACGGACCCAGCAGCTAATAGCTCCAGACTTCGACTGACACAAACTCCCCTCGTCCTGGGTCTGCTTGGTAGCTCCACCCACTCCTTTACACCTGCAGTTCATTCTCTGGACTAATTACCTCTCACATATGTACCTGTGTTTGTAGCCACTCTTTGGGAGGTCTCTGTTAAGTTGTTTAGTTCCTGGTTTGTTTCACTGTTTACCTTGTTCAAGTCTGTATTGTCTCTCCTTTGTTTGAACATGTACATGCCTACATGTTTGTTAAACTGAGATTATAATGCTGAGGCTGACTCTCAGCACCTCCACATTAAAACACTCTCACACATGCATCCTGCTTCACCTCGTTTGTTACACTGTTACTTTTCTTTGTGTATGTATATATATATATATATATATATATATATATATATATATATATGCATAAATGTACTATATGATATATACATATAGTTGACCTGTGGTTAAGATTAACCTCCTTCCAGCTTAGTCTTTGTAGACCATGCATGCCTTTGTGCACAGTAGAGCCAAGAGATACAAATATATAAAAGGTAAGTGTTTAGTGAGCATAGAAAGAGAGCTGAAACAATAGCAGTGACATGATGTTTGACAGAATACATGGAATTTCAGTATTACATATTTTTAAGGATTTGTAGTAGAGGGTAACTCAGTGGCAGTTAGCTGTGAGTATCTTAGTAACTTAGTGAGAATATGAAGAAAAATAAAATAATGAAAAAAAAAACTTTGTATCTCCAAAATACTAACTTTACTGCAGGAGGAAAAACATACTTAACTTTGAACCTAAGTGTAAAGGGGCGAGCAGTGCCGCCTGCTGCCGGCAGAGGGCAGTAGCGGCGCTTGTCTAGGGCAACTTCCGCCAGGGACTTCAATGCCCAGAAAGCTTTGGGCGGATTGTATTAATGCTGCTCAGCTTAAGGAGTGCCTACTTAAACCCCAGAGACACTCAAAGAAAATGCTGCACCTCTGAATAGGAGTATAATACGGAGCCCCGGAGGGGACGGAGGTGAAAAAAAATAATTAATTCAAGTGAACGTTTTGCAGTTCGTGCGCACGTCTTCTTTTATTCGTGGGCACGATTTCTTAAATCGTTTCCTCGCTTTCCATTGTAAAAAAAAAAACTCCAGCAGCACTGCTGTGTCTGATCCACTCGTACCAGCACAACACACACTAACACACCACCGCCACGTCTACTGCAGTGCTGAGAATGATCCACCACCCAAACCTGCTCTGTGAGGGTCCATGGGGGTCCTGACCACTGAAGAACAGGGTAAAAGGGGGCTAACAAAGTATGCAGAGAAACAGATGGACTACAGTCTGTAATTGTAGAACTACAAAGTGCACCTATATAGTAAGTGGAGCTGATAAAATGGACAATGAGTGTAGAAACAAGGAGGTGGTCATAATGTTATGCCTGAGTATATATATATATATATATATATATATATATATATATACTTGCTTTGATGTGTAACCCTTTTCCTCTCAAGCAGCTCTGTGACAAAAGCTCTGTGTTGTGAATCTGATGGAATAAAGGGAACCAAGGAGCACAAAGCTGTGGTGTGCAGTTTCTGTCTTCATAAAACAAAACAGTACTGTGTTAAACGAGCTCAGCTTCCACCAAAAACTTCTTTGGATAAAATGAGTTACATAGCTAGTATTATTAGTCTCTTCAATTTAGACTGTCTTTGCACACATCCACGGCTGAAATTCACAAAAAATACGAAATGCTTAGAAATATTTCAACCCCTATACATTTGAATAACATACATTTTAAAGAAATAAAGTGCTTAAGCAGCAATTTTAGAGATAACACACTACATAAAGTGAACAGCTGATGCCATAAAACCCCACATGCAGATTAGCTTTCCACTGTTAAGATATAAAATCACAACGGTAATACATAAATAATTATTAATTTCCACCAAACAAGTGACAGACATTTAGTACATCTCTAAGCTGTGCAAAACATCACTGAATGCTTGATATTTTCCAAGGATTGACATGGATTGTTAATAGAGACGAACTCTGCATGGATCACCTTCATTAAACAAAACAGTACTGTGACTATAGGGCGCATACTGCCACCTACTGGTTCTACATGTAAATAACACTACCTTACAGATGTATTCACTTAATTTCTACACAGACATGTATTACCTAGTAAGCTTTATATTAGTCTTATCAGTGAGTACAAAGCACAACAGCAGGAAAAACAACAGAAAATATCATGATGCGTAAAGGTATGTGCTGCTTATATGACTCGTGATTATACAAATGTGAAGTCTTTGTTCTCTCTTTCCAACTCTCTCAAATTCCAGCACTGACCATGTTCGGGTGTCTATACACTCAGTCAGTCTCCTCAGAGGAGGTACATACCATATACCTGCATATACATACCAACTACACACATCTCTTTGAAATGAAAGGTAACAAACATAACCTGATGACATCGATTTTGAGTTTAAATATGAATTTTTGGTAGACTACAAATGTTATGACTACAGATGTGTTAGCATTTATTTGCTGTCAAATGTAGATTTTATCTACATTTATCTATCCTTTTAAATACTTCTGTACGTTCATGTCCTCCTTCTCCTAGCTCCACATTAAGAAGACTGACAATGTAAAATGAAAGTGCTCAAAGGAAAGATTTGGGGGTGTTATGGGAAATGTGGTGTAGTGAATTTGTCAGTGTTAATGTTCTGTAGTTTAGCCCAGCAGTCAAGTCAAACAGGAAACTTTAAAGCTTAGGTAGTAAATTATTTCCTGTGATTACAGTGGGGCACAGCAACTTTTTGCTGGGGCCTCACTGGGGTGTGTTGGGTCCAGTGATGCCCCTGCATGATTGCCTTGTTTGTCTATTACTGATATGCTGAGAGAAACCTGCTTCATCATGTTTTTACTAACATGTCTAATACATAAACATGAAACACGTTAGTTGAAATATATTCATATAAACTCCATTTGACTGAAGGTAACATGATGACGAGTGATGCCCTATGGGGGAAAAAATAAAAACAACATGAGGTTGAGCTAATCCCTTTTTTTTTTGCCTTTAAACGGGTTGTTCCGAGTTTAGTGTTTTAGATTCTAGAATCAAGAGTGTTTTTGCAATTTACAAAATGATATGTAAAAACAATACTAAAATATAGTCTTGTGGAAACTGTACAACTGCTGAAGTACCTCCTACCCCATAACTTAACATATATATAGCTTGTGCATATTTCTAACATTTTATCTGGTAAAAGCATGAGCATTTGAAATGTGTAAAAGAGTCATGTTTGTTTCCATGACTACTTTAGCCTGTTATTCCTTAGTCTAGAATCTCCTGTGTTTTAACAGTATGAGTAATTTGCATTGCAAAACAGGGGAAATGGAAATGCAGCACAGTTTACTTAGACTTGTCTTCAAGCTATCATTATATTAGCTACAGCATGTAACTTTCAGGTTTTGCACATCCACACAGCAGCATGACAGTGTCTTAACTGTAAATATAACAGAAGCACAAAGAAAGATGAAACTGAGCAGCACTGATGGTCAACAGAACTATTTAGCAATGCATTTTTCATTAAAGAACCATCAATATAAACAACTTTAAACATTTTTTGTTCTTTAAACAATTAAAACTTTTGTAGGAATGGATGTAATGTGCATATAAACGATTATATTGCAGTTTCACTTGTGATCAGTGAAACTTGTGATCATTAGTGGCATCAGTGGGATAAAACAGTTGTGTCTGGAATTATTAGCAAAAGGCAACACAATCTCCACAGATTAATAAAAAAAAATAACCTTGTAGGGTGATCTTGAGTTTGTTTGGTGAGGGGAGTACCACTATTTGGAGCATCAACCAATCCTTGCTGAGGAGGTGGTAGGAGGTAGTTTTGCTTTCTATAAAGGGAGGAACATTTGACTGTAGACATATACTCATGGCAATTTGCAGTTCAAGAGGACAAGGCTACCAAAATGGATCTCAACAATTCTTCATATTTTTCTATTGAAATGAGTCTTGAAGCTTTTGCTTCAGTGAATCTGCCTGTCTCCGTTTTCAGCATTATACTGAACATCTTTTTTGTATTTTGCATGGTCTTTCCACACAAAGAAAGAGAGAGATTAAAACAGCCTCTTACAATTTTACTGGGATTACTTGTTGGGTGCAACATTGCTGCTCATGTCTGCATTGTTATGATCTTTTTAAATAACCTTTTCCAGTCATTTTTTGTGTGGTGGTGTGTTCCACCTATTGCAATTTATACCATGATGACCAGCGTCAACTCGTCTCATTGGTTGAACGTCTTCTATTGCTTCCAGATTATTCCTGTGCAACGCCCATACTTCGTCTGGCTGAAGAAGAACCTGAGAATCTTCATATCCTCTGCTTTAATTGTCAATCCCATTGTCTGTCTGTTGGGAATGAGTGTAATCATTGCAGATATAGAAATATCGTTTCATTATAATATCGCAGACCTAAAAACAGATTGGATACACCTTGTAAATGCACAGAAAGCAGGGCTTTGGATGACCTTGGGCCTTTTTTGCCTCAGCCTTTGTGTGATGTTAGCATCAAGTAGTGCCACTGTTGTATTTCTGTGGAGGCACTTGAAAAACATGGAGAACAGCAGTGGCTCCTTTTCCTCTCCTCGTCGCCAGAGACATATAAGGGTGACCATTATAAGCATCGCAGTACAGGCTCTCCTTCATGTCATCTGCTCAGCTTTGGTTATTATAGATGAACTTGTAATTTATGTGTCTCCTTGGTGTTTTGACTTGGAAAATAATATCCTTTGCACTGTCGTCTCTTTGTACTCTTTTGGGACAACCATTAACATGAGCGTGAGTCAGTCACTGTTCCGGCAGAGAGCTGTTTATGCATGGCAAAAACTTTTCCAACCTCGCAGTTCTTCATCTATATCAACAATCACACAATCGCCCGTTTCATCAGATATTTTGTCTAGCTAAGGATAGTGCTCATTGTAAAAGTTTTGTGCAAATGGTGGATGTGACTGCAATAGTTTGTCATATGTATATAAGTTAAGTTTTACAGTTTTACACTTACCAGCTTGATAAGAATTACTTGTTAATAACATCCCAAGTCATAAGTATGTAGGTCTCTGAGTTTTGTTGGTTGGTTGGTTTGTTTGCTTGCTTGCTTGCTTCCTTTTGTGGAAACATCTGGCATAGGTAACGGCTACCATGGCTGGGAAAGCATGGCTTTTAATAGCCAAACAGCTATCGCCATGTGGACAGTGAGAATGGACGGTGACATCAACTGAAATATACCAATGTTCATGAAAACTTTGTGATGAAATATATTGTGATCAAATTTGTTAAGTTTGTACAGGTGTCTAAACCATGCTTTCACTTGGGTTCAAGTGAATACAGTGAGGTGTCAATTCCCTTTCTCCACTGGACACAGCAATAGTAGGCCTTAAAATGTCTTTTTTTGGCCTACACAGAAAGCGCTGTAGTGTTAAATTAATTCTTAGTCTTCATTGATGCCCAGACATTGTAGGGGTTAATTCAATATATACTATTATATACTATTTAAAAATAAAAGTTCTTAAATAGCTATTGGCATAGACACTTTTTCTGTAGAGGTTCATTAAACTTTAAGAAAAGTTCAACTTCACATCTCACTTACAGAAAAGGTTCTTAAAAGAAATTATTCTAAATAAACAAAAAGGACATTCTATGGCAACACACCAAACAGCCCTTTGGTTCCATTTGGCACCTTCATTTTTAATTTAAACATCATGTAGCTGCTAGGTTTAAAGGTTTTACTATATACCCAATCAGAATATGACTCATGTTGAGAACTGCTAAATTATTATTGTGAATGTATTAAAAATGCATGATATGCATCAATATACATTGGCCTTAAAAGTTAATTACAATAAGAAATAATACAATGAGTGCATGTCTTGTCTGGTGGTCAAGTCACTGCAAGACCAACCAGTTCAATATTCAGTAAAAAATTTTGCCTTCAGGCTGGACTTCATTCAGGAGCCAGTGCTTTAGTGTCCACTCTTAGCCATCTTGCTCGTTTGTAAGGCAAGGGGAGTTTCACTGCTTTGCATCTTGTCAGCCAATATTTGACAAGAGCATAGCAGAAAGACAGTGGGATGATGCTCACCTTTCAAGGAAGTCATAGATGCCTGGACTTTTTTAAAGCTGAAAAAGCAAAATGGACATCTCTATCACTTGGAATTGCTCTATTTCAATGAGTATTGAAGCTTTTCAATCAGTGAGTGTGCCTCTCTCTCTTGTCAGCATGCTTATGGACATCGTTTTTGTCTTCTGTATGGTCTTTCCACAGCAGGGACAACCGCGAATGAAACAACCTCTTAATCTTTTAGTGGGATCCCTCGTAGGGTGCAATACTGCTCTTCATGTTTGCACTCTTTTATTTGTTGTTAGTGACTTTATCTACTCTCCGTCAAATGTAAACAGTGTTATTTTTTATGATGTTGCAGCAGAAGTTTTGCTTTTTACCATGAGGACCAGTGTCACCTCCTCCCTTTGGCTTACTGTGTTCTACTACTGTCAGATTGTTCCAGCTCAGCGTTCTTTCTTCATCTGGTTGAAAAAGAATATCAGACTCTTTATATACGCTGCTTTAGTCCTGGACAAATTCTTCTTTTTGTTCGCGTTCATTGTGTATATTTGGCATTATATTGAAATAGATTTAAGTAAGCCAAAGACTTTTGCACTAAGTTATGCAGTTAACATCAACTTTTGGTTAAGATTAGTTTATTTCTTGCTCAGTCTTTGTGTGATGTTGACATCAAGCTGTGCGACTGTTCTCTACCTGCGGAGACACATGAAGAACATGGAGGAGAGCAGCAGATCCTCTCCACATCTTCACTCACAGATGAGGGTGACCATCACGGGAATCGTACAGACTCTCCTTTATTTTCTCTGCTCAGTCTGGCTAATTATCAGTGATTCTGCTTTTGAACTCACCAATTCATATTTTGATGCAGATCACTATGTACTTTGCACTGTTATTTCATTGTACTCTTTTGGGACAAATATTAATTTGGGTGTTGGCCAGTCAATATTCCGGGAGCGGATAGTCCTCGTTTGCCAGAAAGTTTGTGAAATTGTTCATGCCTTACTGCACTGAAAGAAGAAAAATCTATGTGCTTGCTTCTAATATATTTTTTCCAGTTATAGTCAGCTTCCTAATTATTGGCACCCCTGATAAAGATGGGTAAATAAGTCATGAAAAAATGTAGTTCACACTGAAAGTGTTACAATATTTTTTAACAAAAAAACATGTCATATGTCTGCTGGCATGGATGAACCAGAGATCCTTTCCAAACCTAATTTTTTATTATGTTAGGCCTACATACAGCTTATGTGAAAGGAACAGAGTTACCCAGTTTCAATTTTTGATCACCCTTTTCTTTATATCATTTATTGTCAAAACCATGCCATTGATATTTAGGGTGTCCACATTTTGCCTTTATTACAGCTTCCATTCTTTTTGTTTTGTTGACTTGTTTTCAGTTCTTCAAAGAAATCTGCAGGGATATGTTTCCACACTTCGTAAGTTCAGTTGGTTTCATTTTCTGCTTCTCACAATCCAAGTAATCCCAAACGCATTAAATGGCGTTGGAGTCTGGACTCTGGGTGGCCAGTTTACAATTCTGAGAACACCAGCAGCTTCTTATTGTGATACAGATGTCTTGGACTTCTCTGTATGCCTGCAGTGTGTTTGGGATCATTATATTGCTGCAGAAAGCATTTCTTCACAATCAAATGTTTTCCAATAGGTGAATTTTCCAAATTTAGACTCACCAGTCTATAATACCTTACCTCCACATCTCAGATGTCCGGTTTTGGTTTTCTAGTGCAAATTGTCTTCTTATTTGTCTATTTGTTCAGAAAGACAAACACCTGTGGATTTTTTCTCTCTTTGCTCTTTTCAAAATGGTTCTATACAGCACAAAAAAGGGTTCTGCTACTGTTACAATGTCAAGCTTGTAACAATAGCAGAACCATTTTTGGTGCTATATAGAACCATTTTCAAAAAGGTTCTATATAGAACCATATACAGCACATTCTCCATCGATCTGAAAAACAATTTCACCATACAGATAACCATTTAGGCATAGAATGGTTCTATATAGAACTCATAGTTTTAAATATAACCATTGCCTTTTCTAAAAAAAACCCTTGAAGAAACATCTTTTTAAGAATTTAGGACAGTACAGTGGAGCTGGTTATGATGTTAGCAGGCTAACAACTCAAAACACCATAAAGGTTATCCTGTAGGGCTGTTGATTCCAGAATTTTTGGACAAGACTTCATTTCTGACTGCAAGTAATGTGAATAAAAAAAAAACACTACTATCTAAAAACACTACTGATAGCACTGAGAAAAATGTTCACAGATTTGTACTCAAAGACATTAGCAGCTGCCAGTGACTTTTTAAAGCTGATAAAGCTCTTAAAGTGGTTAATTGTTCAGATCATTCATTCAAGTAGCTTTGTTCTGTATGTCTCTATTGTTTTTTCAGCAAAAATGTGAAAATAAATTCTGGTTTAGAGTTTGAGTTTTTATTCATTTGCATATTATTTTCACTTTAACATTGAAAATTTTAGTTAATAATTGGTGTTACTGAAATGCTGAGGTTGTGCTAAATCAGAATACACAGATTACGTGATCTATATGTACTTAAATAATATATCACCAAGTTACACTCAAAATACGACTGTAGACAGCCACTTTCAGGCTTGAGTTCTAAAGGGTTATTGCGACTGCATTTATTTGTTATTCATTCATGGTAGTTAAACTGCCAGTTTAATTTGCAATCCAAGTTATTTTGAGAGCTATCAGTAGCTGACATTTGAAATTTCACTAAACTGTACCTTATACTCTTGTGAACCCTTTGGGGTGTGCAGATTTAGTGTTTCAGCATTGGCAACACTGTTTGATGGAAATTGTACATTTTTCTTTGTTTTCTGATATGTCCATAGTAAAATATGACCAATCTATTGCTAACTGGCACATTCAAAGCCTTTGAAAAATATAGGAGACCAGGAATGAGAAGAGAAGAAATGTAATTGATGACATTGCTAGGGATAGTTGTAATACATTTGAAAAAAGCAAACATAGAGAAAAGGTCCAAGCCAAAAGGAGTCAGAGGATTTAGCAACTTTGAAAGGTGAAAAATTTTTAATTGTGTGCATGAAAATTGTTGGCCCAACAAGGTGTGGCTCAAGTATGTTTTGTAAATTTTAGGTCCATACAGTGTCTGGCACAAGCATATACATCTGTCACCACTGTGACTTAAGCAGTCATGTGATGCAATGGAGCATTTCAAACCAGTGAGTTTGACCTGATTTAAGATTTGTTTGATTGAGATTTAACTTGATTTAATTCAAACTTATTCATTTTAAAATGTGTTATTATTTGAGCATTGGTGCACTTATTATTTACTTACTATTATATTGTATTTTGTTAGTCATTATTAATTCAAATTCCAAAAACACCTTAATAAAATCACTGTAATGCAGTGGCCTTTCATGGCATATTGCTTTAATAGTGTGCTCCTAGTTTTTCATTTCATACAGCAAAAGTTATTGGCAATCAAACAAAAGCCTCTCTCTGCTGACACTGGGTGGGTTGCTAACCGGATATGCTTGACATCATACAAAGAACTACTTGAATTTCAGCATAGGGATAGATTGAATTGGGGCAGTGTTCCTTTTGTTGCTTGGATGGGGATTAATTGTCCCCCCAATAATTCACTCTCATCTCATTCTGACTTTGCTTTTTGACAGTGTGTTGTGATTTCTTTTGGTTGTTAAAGTTGACTAAAATATTTTTGTTTTGACTAAAAAATATATTTTTTAAATCATATAATTTTTAAAAACTATGGCTCAAACAACAACAACAAAAAAAGATTTAAAGCCATATTTTCTCTCGTGTCTTTACATGTGAAATGTAGTTTGTATACAGTCAACATCTTTTGTATTCCTTTGCTGTAGCAGACTGAGCCAAATCCAATTTTGTAGTCTTCAAATTCAAGGATGTTTAAAAGTAAGGTAACTAGGCTACCTGTGACAGTCAGGCCTTGTTCAGACAGGCGGCTCAAACCTGATTTGAAATATTCACTACTGTATTCGTGATGAAATAATTGAAGAAAGCCATTGATTAAGCAATGTTTATTTTGAATCTGACAGGTGTTTTGTAACTGACACCTGCAAAACTTTTCAAATGAAATAATTAATTAATAATTAATAAGGAGAACTATGAACAAAATTATCAGTGTTTAAACCCCGATTTTACTTACTCCTGACTTAGACTTTATGTGCCATTTTGTCATGCGGAGGGTGTCCTGTGGAGGTCAGATTTGTATTAGTGTGTCACGTACAATGTACAGGTCATTGTTCAGCAGAGGTAGACAGATAATCATCTGTGCCAGTGATTCTTAAACCTTTCCTCAGGGTCCCCTGTGTTTTTGTTCTAACCCAGCTCTCAACACACCTGCACCAGTTATTTAGTGTTGTTCTTAAAGATTAAATTTACAAGGAAATAAGAAAACAAAAAACTTTCACTGTGATTTACAGTCTCCTTGTGTATGGTTAGTTGAGAGAGATGTAAAGTAGAGGGACTGTTTGTGCAATGGAAAATACACTTTACATATCAAATTAGTTTTTGTAGTGAGGATAAAAATTTGGTTAATGGTTGAAGACTTTGTTTAACTAATCCATTTGAGGTTAGTGGACCGTGATCACTTTCAACCTGAATGTCTCCATTACTTCAACATGCTCAGATGTGTCCTGTGGGTATGTACCAAAGTTCCATGATGTGTTTTTCATTGGCAACCTGTGAGCTGAAGTCTAGTATGTAACTCTCTTATGGTTATTTTCAAAACAGCCTTAGAAAAAACTGTTTTAATTTGACTAAATTAATTGATTTTGTAGTTACCACAGGGCTTGGGTGCACTAAAAAATACTCACAAGGAGCATGTTAATAATAATATGCCAACTATCTGAGAAACAAAAATGTAACTCATTGCATATTTTTGTCAAAACATTGGTGAATGTCAGACAAATTGCTAAGATCCATCTTCAAATCAGCAAAACGTACTTCTCTACTTAAGAAGCCACAGAAGGAGCTGGCACATAAGATCTATAGGAGTTGAAGGTGGGACTTCGGAGTGGATGAAGTGTCACAGGGTCATGGGGCAAGGCAGAATCAGGCACTGTAGAAGATCCTGCTCTGCTGGATCCACTTAGAACACGGGAGCAGTGGAGGCAACAAGCACTTCATCAGATGTTGAGCTACTCTAGCAGACTGTGGGGAGCCACTGAGAACATAGGATCTGGAACTGCTGAGAACACAGAAGCTGGAATCACAGAGTACACAGCTGGAGCCACAGCAGGAGCAGCCACACCAAGAGAGCAAGTGAAAACGAGGCGCAAAAGAAAATACGGAAAGCAAAGAACATGGATGCATGGAAGTCCTCTTTATGAGAGCAAAGTATACTCAAATTCATCATTCCTTCATCATCCTAGATTGTGGTAATTTTCTTTTCTGTTCATGTTAGTTGGCCATCATCAAAAACTCATCAGAAAATTTTATCAGAAAACACACAGACTAAGAGACAAATCTTTGAAGACCCACAGCTCTTACGAGCAGTATATTCTGAAGTTCAGTCAGGTCCATAACTGTTTACACAGTGATAGAATTTTTGTAATTTGGTCTCTGTACACCACCACAATGGATTTGCAACAAAGCAGTCAAGATGTGATTGAAGTGTAGACTTTCAACTGTGATTGAAGGGGTTTAACAAAAATATTGCACTAGCCATTCAGGAAATACAGCAATTTTATTCATAGTCCCTCCTTTTCCACAGCCTCAAAAGTAATTGGACAGCTGACTGATAAACAGTTTAATGGCTTGGTGTGACCTGTTCTCTTATTAATTCACAACAAATTAAGGAGATAGAAGGTCTGGAGTTTATTCCAACTATTGAATATGGGAACTCTCAAAGGGGTGTCGGTACAAGTGAGGGGGGCCATCATAAGGCTGAAAAAACAAGACAAACCAGGCTTGACAAGCTCAGCAACACCAAAAGGCCTGGAACGGCAACTAAAGTGGATGATCACAGAATTCTTTCCATTGTAAAGAAAAGCCCCTTTACAACATGCAGTCAAGTCATGGACATTCTAGAGGAGGTTGATGTATCATTGTCAAAGTCTACAATCAAGAGACGCCTTCATGAATGTAAATATAGAGAAGGAGAGGAAAGGAAGGGCTCATGATCTGGATTATACCACATCATCTCACAAACATGGTGGAGGCAGTGTTATGATATAGACATGTATGGCCACTAATGGAACTGGGTCAGTGGTGTTTACTGAAGATGTGACTGCCAATAGATGTAGCAGGATGAATTCTGAAGTGTACATAGCTATGCTTTCTGCTCAGATTCAGGCAAATGCTGCAAAACTGATAGGATGGCACTTCACAGAACAGATGGATAATGACCCAAAACATGCTGGAAAAGCAACCCATGAGCTTTTAAAGGCAAAGAAATGAAATGTTCTTAAATGGCAGTCACTCACCTGACCTCAACCCAATTGAGCTTGCTTTCGCTTTCTGCTTTCAGTTTTATCTTCAGTGAGACCCATAAATAAGCAGCCATTGAAAAGCGGCTGCAGTAAAGGCCTGCCAAGCATCTCAATGAAGAAAACTCAGCATTTGGTGATGTCCATGGCTTCCAGGCTTCAGGCAGTCATTGACTGAAAGGACTTGCATCCAAGAATTAAAAATAATACTTGTATTTATAATTAGGTTAGTTTGTCCAATTATTTTTTGAGCCTGTGAAAATGGAGGGGGTATGTAAAAAATGGCTGTAATTACTAAACGGTTAAGGCAATATGTCTGTTAAACCCCTTGAATCAAAGCTGTAAGGCTACACTTCAATGAGATCTTTACTGCTTTAGTCCAAATTCATTGTGGTGGTGTATAGAGGCAAAATTACAAAAAATGATCACTGTCCAAGTACTTATGGACTTAACTGTAATATACTTAAGAGCCTATATCAATGGTTCCCAATTGTAGTCTTGCCAGCACCACTCTATGCTCATTTAACTTGTCAACATGTTAACTAATTAACAAGTTACTCATGGCAGGATCAGGTATGCATAATAAATAAAAAAAAAATGTTAAAAAATGTTATTTTTATGACGTGTTGGCCATAAATGGACTTTCTTGTCTCCATTGGCCTGAAGTGCACCTGTTTTGCTGGTATGTAGATCTGGTGTGTCTGCAGTTCTAAGGCAGAGGGTCCTCTGAAGCCTTTTTGGTTACTGGCCCAAACATCTGTCCCTCTACTCTGCTCTATATTCCTCAGGTGATGGGATTCTGCTGGATTCATAGACTGAAGGAAACTGTTTTTTTAATTTTGTTTTATTTTATTTTATTTCATGGTTTTTTAGCTGAATGGGGCACTTTGAGCAGTTCACCAGGCCCACAAAGACTCTTGTTTCCCATTGCCCTAATTACTGATGAACCTACCTCTTCTACAAATGTACTGTGTGAATGTTTGCAAAATCAATCAATGGGTGATGGTAACTGGTGGTATAGCTTTAATCATTGCTGAAATTTTGATCCAAACCAGAATATATAACCTGAAAACATTGTGCTTAAGTCTGACTTGACCCAACCCACAACACCTCATTTTAAGTCCCAACACAAATTGAGAATTATATGCTTCCAACTTAATGACAACAGTTTGGAGAGGGCCCTTTGCTGTTTCAGCATGACAATGCATCTGTGCACAAAGCAAAGTCTTCTACCTGCAGCTGAAGATGCCACTGCTTCAGTATCCATTCCTCTGCTCGTGGCTTAAGACATTTCCATGGTTCAGACCTCCCAGATCCCTGTCTAGTCAGCCTTGTAGTCTCCTGGGTCTGCCCAGTCTTCTGTGTCTGTGTTTGTCCCTTCTTCTGTCTCTATGTTTGCTCCGGTGATCGCTCACACTCCTGGCTCTGGTTTTAGTCCTAGAGTCAGGCCAATCCCAGTCTCCAGCCTATGAATGGTCACTAGACCGTGTCCATTTCCTGTTACTGTTCAGGTGCCAGTCACTGTCTATGTTTCAGTTCCTGTCACAGTCTCTGTCTCTGTTTGGTGCATCTTTCCATGCCTGTCCAGTCTCCTGCCCCTGGGGTCTGTGATTATTGCCCTGGCTACAGCTGTTCTCCTCATGTACTTTTATTTTTCTCTCGAGCAGCTAACTACCAGAGTTAGCCAGTTTCTTTCTTTATTCACCTCAAATCTTGAATATTGCATGTACTAGTGGAGAGCAAGAGAATATTCTCTGCTAGGCTATTCTACTATTTCCACACATATAGAAGTGTGAAAACTTTAAACTGTTTCACCCTTCATCTGAAAATGCTGGAATTGTCAGTGTGAGTAATTTGCATTGCAAATATAGGTAGAATGGAAACTGATACATTAGTAGTTTTCATAGCTCACTGACACATGCTACTTTATGTAATCATGACATTTCACACATCAGTATCATAACCAGAAACAAGGAGTGAATACTGGGTGAATGCTTTGAAACTTTGTTGCTTTGTATGAAGGAAAACATACTAAGATGTCTAGTTTTCTCTTTAGGTGAATAATAGGTGAATTTATTCTGTCTGAAACACAAACAAACTGCAATAAGTTTAAAAATTCAAAAGATATTGCAGCATAATGTACTTTTATAATGTACTTATCATTATAAGTTCAATACATACACTGTAAAACTTTTTATTCAAGAATGACAGTGGCTTATGGTGATTAATTTCATAGAATGATGAAGAGAATATTTTCTTTGAACAAGAAAGACATTCTCACATTAAATACTCAATAAATAAATAAATAAATAAATAAATAAATAAAAAACGATGACAGTTTAGGTTCTAAAGCATGCAAGCTACTATCACCTTAACCTTACATCCAGCTCCAAGTTTTGCAACAGAAGGTGAGTGTAACTTGACCTCATCTTCACAAACAAATATTTTCCTTCCTCGGAGGGTGGGCCTTCTCAACAACAGAGGATATATATGAGAGACACCAGGCCTTTGTGATTCAGAAAGACAAGATAAGCTACATGGCACCTAGTAACTGTTGCGATTTCTCTGTTAGCATGAGCTCCATAGCTTTTGCTACAGTGAATATCCCTGTCTCTACTGTCAGCATTTGTATGAACACCTTTTTTGTTTTCTGTATGGTCTTCCCACAGCAAGGAACAGATCAGCTAAAACAACCTCTTAATGTTTTACTCGGATCACTTGTTGGGTACAACACCACTCTCCAAGTCTGTGTTTTTCTTTTTGCTATGGTGGAAAATGACATATTTACAGTGAGTGATTTTTGTTATGCTGTTGTAATAGAATGTATCTGTTTTGCCATGAGGACCAGTGTGACCTCCATCCTTTGGCTGAATGTGTTCTACTACTGCCAGATTGTTCCTTCTCAACATCCTTCCTTTATTTGGTTGAAGAAGAACATCAGAGTGTTCATATACTCTGCTCTGATAATGGACAAATTCTTCTTTATGTTTGAGTTCTCTATAGGCATTGCATATAGTACTATATATAGAGAGTTTGATGAATACAATGCTGAGACGAACTTTAATACAACATACTCACAATGGTATGCCATACATAAAAAAATGGACAGAGTGAATGATTTGTTGCGTGCAGATACATGGATAAGATTCGCCTATTTCTTGCTGTGTCTTTGTGTGATGTCTGCATCAAGCTGTGCAACTGTTCTCTACCTGTGGAGACACATGAAAAGCATGGAAGAGAGTAGCAGCTCTTTCTCTTCTCCTCGTCTCCAGAAACAGATGAGGGTGACCATCACAGGCAGCATACAGGCTTTCTTATACTTCTTCTGCTCAACCTGGATAATAGTAAGAGATATAGTGGTATTTGTATTCTATATAGAATTAGATTTGAATGGTCATTTATTTTGCACTGTTACCTGCTTGTACTCTTTGGGAATAACCATTAACTTGGGTGTGGGCCAGACAGTATTTCGTCAGCGAGCAGTTCATGTCCTACAAATATGTCTTCAGACTCTCAAATCCGTATCTATTTGAATGTGTAATAGAATACAACACTGGTTTAGCAACATATCTAATTTATATTAGTTATCCATATAAAGACTGCATTGAATACAAAACAGAAAATTGTGTATGTGTTTACTTTCACATGTTTGGTTTTATGCTCACATTTTGTTTTTGAGCCATTCAAGACATTTGTGATATCTTTTAAGGTCAACATTTGTATATATTGAAGTGGGAAATTATCTTTTACACCTTTGTTTTAACACCTTATTATCCTAGCTGGCAACCAAATAAAACTCTGGCCAGAGAAAATGGGTTTACTTCTTTGCAATTCTGATAGCAGATACATCTTACAGCACTTCAGATCATTGGCAAATATGAGTTAACTTGCAATAAAAGTGGAATTTGAATCAAACATTTTTTTCTTTGATTTGTGCAGCACATTTGTCAGAATATATTTTTCAGCAGCGCGGTGAGAGAATTCTGTATAATTGCTATTGACGAAACCCAGTTTGTATAACAAACAATACAACCATGAACACCTACCTTGCTATCCTTTTTCTTTAAATTTAGCCAAAGATACTTTTCCATAGAATTTTCCATAGAAACATAGATGGTAATTAGTTCCAAGTAGACATAGCTACAAAGGCACTACATTAACTAGTTAGTTATTGTTATCATTGCCAGATACCAATAGCAAGGCCATAGCTAGTTACCCTCACTATTTCACTGACTGCAAGATACTGTCTATGTGTCAAAACAGTAGCCTAATTTAATTATTCTTACTAAACACATAATGGTTATCCTTTATTCATCATGTAAATACATGAAAACTTCATGTAAATATTGAAAATAAAGTTGAACCTTTTAGACAGCCAAGTAAGTTGTTCAGTGTGCATTTTGTGCATGGTGTATTATGATCATGGCTTTGAAATTCAACCAACCTCTTCATGAGGTATGAAGCAGATTTTGAACCAAGCTAAATGAACATCCCAACACACAAAGATCTTCTTTGTATTGTAGTCTAATGTTTTAGTAGGGCAGCCTCCGTCCCCTAGCAGGGTAGCAGAGTCCAGAGCACACTAGCGATACTTTAAGTGATGTTGCCCTCTCCATGAGCTATACCAATAGTGAAAATTGCAGCAGTGCACTGAAAAATATTAACGTCAGTACAGTGATTGTCTTTGTAATCAAAGTTCCACGGGGAAGGGACACTTAAGTAAGTCAAATGATATAGCCAACAGTGATATAGCCAATTTAAGCATAGCATGTTAAAATGATATGCTCAATTTACTATGCTATAAATTAACTTTTAAGTTTTCTTTTTATTACTATTCCAAAAAATGACTAAATCCATAGTATGGATAACCATGACACAATGTATACACAAAAAGTAATGTAACTACAAATGAGAAGAAATGTAAATTTTCAAAGTACTACTAAACTTAACAATTAAAATCTATGAGCCCTCTGTTCTCCCCTTCAACCCTCAACACCTGCACATCTCCCACCCTTGAAAGCTTCCAGTGACTATTTGGTTGTGTAATTTTCTGTTTGCTAGGTGATAAGAATAAACACTTGCTATTGTTACCCAGTGCTGCCCATCATGGCAAGCAATACAAACTGAGTGTTAGTTCTGTGATTTTTAACACATTAAAAAAATCACATGGCAAAAATACTGTATGTTTTCATGTGATACATAAAGGCAACACTGTAGCTTCACATAAACTACAAACATCCACTGGTTTGAACTGCATTTACACAATAAACCACAACTGTGGTAAACAAAGTTCAAAGAAAAGAGCCAAATGGTCGTCAAAATTTGAGTCAGTTGTGTCAAGTCGCTGGTATTTTGATTTGTCCAGTTAGGTCTGACGTCTTCCAATTCATGACTCAAGTCCAAGTCATGTGACTCGAGTCCAGGCCTCTGAGGCTTGAAGATGCTTCACAATAAGGTAAAATCCCAACTTCCCCAGTCAACAAACATTTATTAAAGTTTTCAAAATTTCCTGGCATCTCACACTTAATTCTCTTTTTTCTTCGATTCAGTTCCTTAACTGGTGGTAATAGAACCATTACCTGCCCATATCTAACCAGCGTTCATATCAACAGCTGAGTTAAGGCTTCTTTTTTCCATCCTTAACTGAAAACAACTATCAATTTCCATTTTCCATTTTGGTTCTGTCCCAAGGTTTTGTTATGAACTTCTATCACCTAAGAATAGCTCAACGAGTTTGCTTTCCAGGTAGTTACTGAATAATAAGCCTTAGTATGTATTTTAAGGGGTTAAAATATCAGTACCTTTGGCACAGAAACCTTCTGAAGCGATTGATACTGACATGCTCTTTGATGCTGGCTCCCCCTAGTGTTCTATAAAGGCACTTAAACTTCATCTGCCAAGTGCAGGGATTTCAGATTGTGACTTGAAAAATATAATTTAATAGACGTGTAGATATTTGAAAGTCCCTGCAGAAAAACTGTGTCTAAGCATTTCTAATGAACTAAATAATCCAAGCTTAGCATGTGTGAACACTCTGGTAACAGCTACCCAATTATTTTTAACCAAATAGAACACAGCATTGTAAGCATTGTAACAAGACATGTACTACTTTCTCAATCAAATGTTCAATTAGATATGTAAAGAGATGTATAGCTCTACTACATAATCTTTGTTATGTATATACTACTTTCCAGAAAATACAATAATACAATATTGTGCAACATTCACCATATGAATGAGTTTTAGTGAAGCAGTAGAAAGAGACAGACCAACTGTCAAAAAAGCATCCAACTGAACAATGGATAGCATAAATATGAAAAAGAATGACAAGGTTGATTTTCAAGACTCATTGTGATCGAAAAGACAAAACTTGAAGTTAACATTGAGAACACTGAGTAATTAACACTGGAAGTAAGGCCACACAATGCCAAGCCAGCAGCAAAGGTGGACTATGGGTGGTGCCAAAGATACGAAAAGAACAAAACACGTAACCTGCCATACCAGAGTTAACCTGCATAAAATACAGCAGGTGGCACTTGCCTTTTACCTGATGTGTCTATACAAAGTGATACTACCATGATAAATGTAATGGCACTCCCCAGCCACTTTATCCACACATCACACTGGAAGGAAGGAGAGAGAGAGAGAGAGAGAGAGAGAGAGAGAGACAACAAAGTGATCACCAAACCGCCAGCAAACTAATAGCCTCACAGGCACACACAAAGGCCTACCCTCCCCTATCCAGTTGATTGGAGGACGAGAGTACAGCAGCTGAATTCCAATTGAAGGAAGAGTACACCTGCTGAACGCCAACAACGCAGCCACTGGTTAGATTGCATCGGTTAGGCACATCAGGTAGAGGGGAACTGAACAAAACAAACAACAACAAAAAATGGGGGAGAAAAAAAGAAACAAACAAACAAAAAAAAAAAGAAAAAACATACATGCCGCTCTAGCATGTAACAATGAAGCTTTGTTGTCTTGCAGAGAGTACAATTTTTGTGTGAGTAAAAAGAGCATTTACTAATGCTTATGCTTATCTTCTTCCTGTGTGTGGATAATAGGTAAACGTTATTTCTTTGAAACAGAATCAAAACACAACGGGTTAAGAAATTCATAAGAGACTGCAGAATCATAATTAAAAGTCAAACACGTATGTTTCCTTATTTTTATTGTATTCCACATTGTAGAGTAACTGTGAAGGTGAACAGTGAATATCTATGTGCTGAATATGGTAGGTTTAGAAATTTTGAATGGCTTGTGTGTTTTGTTGTCCCTGGAGCTTCATCAGAGTTGTTGTTTCATTTCTTCAGGAGTAGGAATAGAACATTTACTTTCCCATGTCTAACTGGTGTTCAAATAAACAGCAGAGTTAATATTTTTTCCATCCTTAATCCTCAAAAATATTCTTCGGAAAACTACAATGTTTAAATGGTTGTGATCAGTAAAGCTACAGTAATAGACTTTGGGAACAGCACCACTCAATTGAGCACACTTGATACTAACCTAGTTTTGTGGCTGGCTCCCCCTAGTGTTGCCTTTATGGATTAGTTCACTTTAATTGATGCAATATTCTAGCAAGTTCTTTCAAGATACCGAGACGGTATGCTAGATGCAGGTATGCTAGATGCAGGATTTCAGACTGTGACTTGAAAAAAAAAATCATTTATATGGATATGAAGATATCTGATTGTATTTATGTATGTATATTTGGTAGTATAAACATGATACATGTTATGCACTAGAACGAAAAAGTCTTTATAAATCCAATTAAGACTGTTCAGGTGGTTGGTACAACCATATATCCAGGAAAAAATGTTCCCCTTCTGATGTTTTATTATTTGTAATATTTATTACAGTAGGAATGTTCCTGCAGTCATTGGATGTTGTTCAGGTCAACAACATCCAATATAACATGCTATAGTCCTATTAATGGCTCCCTCTCAGTGGAGAATTCCTCACACTAATTGTAGGAAGTAGTAAATACACATATAATGAAAATTCAGTAAACAATCAGCAACATTGTCAATTCATACAGAATATACATTAAAGGTAAAATCCAGGGACATAGAAGAGGACAGCTTAGAAACAACATAAACATGGATTCAAAAGGCAAATTCTTCATTCAGTCTATAGGGAATAAAGTTTTGGGAGAATACATTCAATGTGTATCTTTTTGTTAATCTCCACATATATCCACTTTCTGTAGCAAAATATGCAAATATATTTGCATTATATACTGACCATTTAAAATGAGCAGCTACAGCATTTTTCTGATCTCACTTCTTAACTGTCTCTACTGAAATTAAGCTTACATACGTCAAAGCAAACTGACATTTTTAAGCAGCAATGAACAAGTATTCAAAATACTAATGTAAAGTATCAAAAATAAAAGCAGATAGAGAGAAATGATCCTTTTTTAACTTTCACTTACACAACGTTTATACTGAAAGTAGTTTTACTTCGTATATCAGTCAAACTATGGTTGTATGTTGCATTAATCCTTGAAATGTGTCTTAAGACTAATTAAATACAATAGTATAAATAAAAGTGTAATATAAATACAAATTAGAGCTATAAAGTGGGTGCAGTAATTTGAATGGTAGAAGCCCAATTGTTCTGACTGTAATAATTCTATATGTGTTAGTTTGTAGTTTTGGTGTCTTTATTATTGTTTAAACAGAAAAAATAAAGAAAACTTGTTTGTTCATGTTTCTTGAAAACATAAACAACCCTCCCTTTCTTATCTCCCTTCCTCCATTCAGCCTCTCCATTCCTTTCTTTCACAGTACTTTCTCCCCTTCTTTCTTCCCCCATTCTCTTTCTTTCATGTCTATTTCCATTTATTCCCTCCTCTCTCCTTCCTTCTTGCCTTTCTCTACTTCTTTCCTGAATGTTCTTCTTTTTCACCACTTCTTCCTTCAATTCTGCCTCCATACTTCCATTTCTTCTGCCTTCCATCTTTCTTCTAATATTAGCTAGCTAGTAAAAAATGCAGAGATTAAGCATTAGCTAGTTTGGCTAAGTAATTAACAGGGTTTGGTCTATTTTTGAGCCATATTAGCAAAACTGGCTATGTAGCTAAACAAGATATGGTATAATTCATACAATATCTTTTTTTCTGGTGTTGTACTTTTTAATTTGATTTTAAAGTACTTTTTTAACTTATGGGTGCACCCGTAGTGACCAGCTTGTAGTAGGCCGCTCTCTTAGCCATAAGCTCCTCATGTGTCCCTTTCTCTATGACAACGCCCTGTGACATCACTGCAATAATATCAGCAGTCTGAATGGTGGAGAGTCTGTGGGCAATGACGATGCAGGTGCGACCTTGCCGAGCTTCATCCAGTGCTGCCTGAACCGTCTGCACATGCAGAAAGAAAAAAGGAGCCAAACAGACAGTTTTAACAATTTAACAATATAAGAAAGATGTGTGGAAAAACAAGAGTGACCTGAACACAAGAGAACTGTGACTTGGAAGTGCACATGAAACTAAAATGAATTAGTCTAGTATAAGCCAGACTACTTTAAAATACTTTGAACTTTTGTATACACTATAACATCATGTGGCACTCCTTTATGTCCAAGCAGTCAGTCCTCCCCCTGTTTCCTTCCTCACCTAAAGCTGTCTTCATTGGTAATCTCATTAGTAAGACATTAGTAAGACCATATGATCTGCCTCCTTAACACCTACTGATGGTCTCACTTTTATTGGTCTCACTTAGCAAAAGCTCCAGATTTACAAACGCAGCAACATCCACTAAGCAATGATCTCATCAGACGTTAACAATCACAGGGCAGTTTCTGCACAGAGCCCTGACCTCAACTGCTTTGAACACCTTTGGGATGAATTGGAATGTCAATCGCAAACCTACTTCTCATCCAACATCAGTGTCTAACCTCACAAATGCTCTTTTGACTCAATGGGCACAAATTCCCACAGACACACTCCAAAATCTTGTGGAAAGCCTTCCCCGAAGAGTGGATGCTTTTACAGCCATAAAGGGGAGCCAACTTCAAATTAATGCCTATGGTTTTGGAATAATATGTCCAACAAGCTTATACAGGTGTGATGGTCAAGTGTCCACATACTTATGGCCATGTAGTGTCCCATATATAATCTTAAAACCATGGGTGTACTCTGTTGTATTTTATTGTAAGTTCTTTTCTTGTTTGTTTTAGAGAAGCACTTTACAGCACATACAACATGTGACATACCTTCTCGCTTTCTGTGTCCAGGGCAGAGGTAGCCTCGTCCAGCAGCAAGATTTTGGGGTTTCTGACGATGGCGCGAGCAATGGCTATACGCTGCTTCTGCCCTCTTGAGAGCTGAGAACCTTGAGCTCCAACTTGAGTTTCGTATTTCTGTGAGCCAACCACAGTGAGGACAATAGGCTGTTGGTTTGTTCACTACAATAGCATTACATTTTTTAATGGTCAGATCTGTTCTGATTTGTCATAACTTTTTTACTCTGCAAGCAAGACTCCAAGAATATTTTCCAGGCTATCCATTACATGAAATTAGTATAATTTGTGTAATTAGTGATGTTTTTCTGGCTTTACGTATTATCCATTAGCAAAAGTTGAAGTTTGCATTCGGGTCTTAGCTGTACTATAATAAACTTATTATTATTGTACTCACATCAGGCAAAGCCATCACAAAATCATGCAGATAAGCCTTCTTAGAAGCCTCTACAACCTCCTCCATGCTGACAGAGCGCAAGTTATCACCATACTGGATGTTTTCTGCTATAGTGCAGTCAAAAAGCACAGGCTCCTGAGATACAATTCCAATCTGAGACCTCAGGAATGGTACATTAACACCATGGGACGGGTGTCCATCTATCAACTGGAGTCAAGGAAAGGCATATGATCAGAATTTAAACTTTCAGTTATGTTGTTTTCAATTTTAAATTTTAAAAAATGCTGAAAAATGCTCTTATAACCTTCTCTACACACTTACAGTAATTTGTATGTATTTCAGTCTTGATGAGCTAAAGCAATAATACTTTGGTTTCTCACCACTTGGCCTTCATCTGGGTCATAGAATCTCTCCAGGAGCTGAACACTCGTGCTCTTGCCGCATCCGCTACTGCCCACAAATGCAAGTGTCTGTCCGGGGCTCACTGACACCTCTAGTCCCCTCAACACTTGGATGTCTGGTCGGCTTGGGTACGTGAACCTGCAGTTCTTGAACTCAACCCTACCTTTAAAGTCGGCCTGTAAGACAAAAGCAGTGGAACTTATTTAATAAAATGCTTAAAAATGCAGGTGATCTCACTGGACAAAAAATAAATGTTCAAAGTCTTCCTTCATATTGGTCAGAGAACGTATTACACTACATCATAACAAATGATTGTGAAGAAACATAATAACTTGAAAAATAAAACTTCAAGGGCCATTTTAAGGCACAACTTCTAAAGCTGCATAAAACAGAATATTTGTAGAACAGCACATGATAATAATTCATTTTAACAGACAAAAAAGGTATCACTTGAAAGCATGAACTGGATCCATATATCCAGATAGAGTAAACTAAAATTTAAAGTCAGCATGTAATGCACAAATGCATACAATGTTTGAGTCATTATCAGTCATGATCAGTTTCAGTTTCAGCTTTGGACATTTTTGAGTGCTGCCACGATCTACAAACCTTTTTTCCAAAAATGTATATTCTAGTTTTCAGAATAGGAAACTTTTTGGGGATCATATGTAGAAAATCTTACAAAAAAGCGAGGTGAAGTTGAAGGCGATAAATGACCTTCAACTTTTTTTTTTTTAACTTGACCCCTCTTCCTTTAGAACCAGTGCCAGGAGGCCAGCCTTGCACCTGTATCATTGATCTTTATTTTTTTGTTGTGCGCACAATTTACAGATGGCAAGCTGACCCACTCAACATAGAAAATTACCATGTTTATATAGGCTGGCTCAGGCACATTGCTGCCTGGACCATTGCCAAATTAGGCACAACAGCAACTTCTGTTCTTAATCTATACATAGACAGCCAGGAATAAATGTTCACAATGTCCTCCTATTGTCCTCCCAGGTACAGCTCACATAAAACATACACAGATCACATACATACAATAACACATAATACTGAACATATTACACATAAAACATATAATACAGCAGACCCTTCACACTTGTCTTGACTAATTTTAATCAGCTAACCTTTTATTTTACCAGACAGGTCAAGGAGCTTAGTTTTCTTACCCATCTTTGTCCCTCTGCCTGATTAATGCTGATTCTGGGGACTCTGTCCAGCAGTTTGAAGAACTGGGCAGCAGCAATTTTGGCTTTGGCATAGTCTGGTGTAAAAGATGAAGCTCTTCCAAGAGCTGTGCCACTGATTACAATGGCAGAGATCACTCTAAAGGATTAAATAGACATAGAATTAATTATGAAAAAAACAAAAATATGTAATTTAAACCTTATAATAATTCATTTTAGCATACATCATATGTGTTCATGTTTGCAATAACCACTTACATGACTTACATGAACAAGTTTATGCATAGGTACATCAAACAATTTAGAACTTCTATTATAAATGCTTGGTTGTTTACATGAAGAGAAAGAGTAACAGATACAGTATATAGCATTAATGTGTTTCATAACTTACCTAAAAACAACCACATAGTGAAGTCCCTCATAATTAACCAGATAGCCCCCATATCTAAAAGAGGCTGCATATGCCATGAAGATAACACACCGGGCGAAGGCAAAGCAGATGGCATATACATAAGCCTTCTTCTTGGCTGCTTTGTAGGGGGGCTCCAACTGCTGCTCATATAGACCCACAAAGTGCTTCTCTTTAGCCAAACCTGCAATAGTCCTGATGTTGGCCATAGCTTCACTAGACACCTGTAGGAACAGGTCTAGAACCATTAAACCATCTAGAACTATAATATGAAGGCTCGTGTGTAAACGACAAAATCAGGGACAGGCTGAGGATGGGTTAGACTCATACAAGTTTAGAGCTAGCATAATTTATCCTGGAAACATATCCATGTGGACTGGCTCAAATAGCTTAGAAAGAAGAGATGTGTTTTCTAAAGAAGAGATTATGTGTATGAAAAAAGAGAAGTAACAGGTAAAGCTATTTCACCTGCCCTGCTGCCTCCATTGCTTTCTTGTCCTCATTAGCAAACCCAGTCAGCATTTTAGCCTGGAAGACCCCAGAAAGGCCAATCAGGGGGAGGAAGCAGGTCACTACCAGACTCAGTTTCCAGCTGAAGTAGTACGCAATGATGAACGATGCTCCAATGTTGGTCAGTGAGTTAACAATCATGCCGATCTGAGAGCCGGTAGCCTGAAGCATACAAGGTATTTATTTTCAAGCAAATCTTCAGTTTTCTCTGCTAAGGATAAAACTGTAGCCCAAAGTGTATTGAAACAGAAAACAGGTTTACTTAATCTAAGCCTTAAGAGGGATTTCCATCAATTGTTCAAAATTTCTCCATAAACCAGTTGTTGATGGGTAAATAAAGTCATTCAGAGTTGTTTAATGTGAAATGCACTGTTCTAGAGATACTTACTGAGAAGTTACTGAGTTATAATTGTTCACAGTGGTGATGACAGGAACCAGATTTTTGAAGTGTTCACAGTCTCTAAAAGTTTACTTTCAGACTTTTAGAACATGAAATGGTTATGAATGTGCTGCTTGATGCCTGAGATATTGTTTTATGATAGTTTTGAGAAAAGGTTTTGGCCTAAAACATATTTAGTTTATTCATGGTGGAGAGGTACATGTAGGGAGTTTTAAGGCAAAATAGTCACCAAAGATGTTTTTTTCCAATTTATCACTATTTTACCATTATCAACATTAACTTTAAACACTCAGGAGAGACAATTCAACTAATTGTTTTGGATGGTAAATAAAATGGCTATATTTGTGTTATAGACACCATGACTACTGGTTCCCATCACCACCACTGTAAAGAAATCCAAGATGTATTTCTTTGGTTAGTATATGGATAACCAAAGATGGTTTCATATATTTGTACATAGCAGAGAGTTTTTGTACATAGGTCCCTCCTGTCTCTATATTTTGTGTATATTTTGTGTTTATTTAATATATTTCAGTTTTAGTATTTTCTTTTGTATTTTTACTTTGTTTTGTCTGCACTGTTTTTAGTATGTATATAATGCTGCCTTGCTGTAGAGTGTTTACCTGAGCCTCACCACAAGCATGAATGTCCTGACATGTTGTTCAAATGACAAATAAACTTGAAACTAAACTTAAAACTTGAGACGGTAAGTTTCTCTGCTATGAAACATTTCCTGTCAAGCCACTCTGAAAGACTTTGCTTACACCTTAAAGATTGAATTACATAGAAATTGTGAAAAATCTGTGGAATTACACTTGAATTTATGCAGATAAATTATTTCCTTTATATTTGACAGCCAGACTTACTCACCCCTTGCACCATGGATGCATCAGTAGCCAGTCTAGTGGTAAGAGCTCCAGGACTGTTTCTAGGATCATCAAACCATCCAATCTCTTGCTTAAGCATGGCCTGGAAACCAACCTTCCTCAGCCTGCGAGTCAGTAGCTCCCCAGACTTAGCAAAAGCATAGCCCTGCAACATATACACTGCTCAGCTGCCATGTAATGAAATAAACATTAGACAGTCCAACTACAAGCTGACATCTTATCATGTTCATGTCCTAGGATTTTACAGTTCCTCATGACACATAATAAATAGGAGACATACATACACTGCTGTATATCTCTGTTGAGAAATTTGCTGTTAAAAAATATACAGCTGAAATGTAGGGACATGTAAAATCTTACTTGTAAGAACTGTGAGAAGAAGCTCATACATCCCACAATGACAAACAGAATGCAGATTCCATTAATCTGTTGTCTCTGCTCATCCAGGTCTCTGATAGCAAATGTCTACAGAACAGAGAGACAGTATTATCTTCATATCACATGTGGTAACGGTTATATTCTACTACAACTGGAAATTCTCTTGGTACTTTAAAACGTCTCTCACCCCCAGAATTTGGCTGAACAAGAGGGCATAGATGGGATTAACAGATCCATTCACAGCTGCTCCTAAAGAGCCCAAGAACATGTATGGCCACTCAGGTCGGTTGTATTTCAGAATTCGAGCCACAGGTGCTGATTCAGTTGACTCCTATGAATGATCATCAAATTTCTTAAAGAAAATTAAATGATAAAGCAATCTGAGTGAAAGAGTGGAGCGTCTAAATTATACAGATGAAATGTTTTGTTTAACTGACCAAAATCTGCTCCACCAATGGAAAATATTACCTTTTTATCCTCAGTTGTCTCTACTTTGAAACTGTCAGTTCTCAGTCTCAGTTCTCCAGAGAAGGCATCAATGAGACTGCTTGACATTTGAGACTGTGTCCTCATTCGCAAAGAATTTCTGTTAAGCATTAATCTCATTTTCATAACTCCAGGTGAGATAAAGATATTTATTTCCACTTAAAATTCTGAAAAATAGTCATATTCTTTTGTTGTGTACTTTACCTTAAACTAGACTGATAGCTTCCCCTGCTGAAACTTCTTGTTTTCTCAAATCCATCATCTTCAAGAATGGCAGCATCGGATGCTGGTTTTTTAGAAAGACACACAATCAAAGAGACTTGTTACAAAAAGACTTGTCAAACAATGTATCACAAATTAGGCATCAGATTTAGAATCTACCCACTGTTGCTTGTTTTCTGATTGGACACATAATTTCCTTGGTTCTGGAGTGTGACAAGAGTGAAGTAGACTCCTTTCCTGTCCAACAGTTCACTGTGTGAGCCCCTCTCCACAGCACAGCCATGCTCAAAGCCCACAATCACGTCAGCGTTACGGATCGTAGACAGACGATGAGCAATAGTGATAGTGGTTCTTCCTATGCGAGCCTGACGAAAAAAAAATATCACTTGGCGCCAAATGTGCAAACATACCACAGAAAATTATGGTGGAAACAGTAGATGCTCATATTTTTCTAATGTAACTGCTCAAGTCTGAAAATGAAAGATGAAAACAATAGTACATTTACATTTACTATCAATTAAATAAGGTGCAGCCAGTTGGTCTCACCTTGTCAAGAGCCTCCTGAACAACAGCTTCACTCTCATTGTCCAGGGCTGATGTGGCCATGTCTAGCAGTAGGATTTTGGGGTTTCTGACCAGAGCTCGAGCGATTGCAATCCTTTGTTTCTGCCCACCACTCATCTGTCCCCCACCTTCTCCAACTAGTGTATCAAATTTCTGCACCAACCAATCAGCATATTATGAAAAATCATGCATTCTGTTCTCAACTTCAGTCACAGGAACAATCTCTATCTTATATAAACAAAAATAGTAACATTATATTATATAAACCTTAAATAGCAATTGTATACTCTGTCAAGGGAACTAAGTGAGGTTTTGATTCAGTAACTGTTGTTTTATGCACTACTACCTTTTTACCACTGTAACTAATTCAGCCAAAACGTTTAAAGGGACCATATCCTCCATGTTTCTTGCTTGTATGCAATAATGTAAAATAATGAATTCAAAATCATGTGTGAACCATAACCTGTCCAGGGTGTATCCTGCCTTCCGCCCAATGACAGCTAGGATAGGCTCCAGCAACCCACCGCGACCCAGAAGGATAAGCGGTTTAGATGTGTGTGTGTGTGTGTGTGTGTGTGTGTGTGTGAGTGAGTGTGTGTGTGTGTGTGTGTGAACCATATGGACTGAGGAGTCAACGGTACATTTTGGAACTTTAAAAATGTTTACATACTGCTTTGAACTCTTTTCAGGTAAGTGGGGAAAATTAGATTTACCATGATACAGGCCCTTCAGACAAAAGTTAAAAACATCCAATCAGAGAAGATATAAGGCATATGCCTTCAGAATAGTCCCGACTTTCCAATCGCTAACTAAGAAATCAACAAGTGATCACATCACCACTTTGTAGATTAGATAACATGCTATTAATTTAGATACCATTCAGCAAGATAAGGTACTGGTTAATTACCTGTGGCAAGTCCATGATAAAGTTGTAAGCATTGGCATCTTTGGAAGCCTGTATGATCTCCTCCATGGTGACTCCTGGTCTGCCAAAGCGAATGTTCTCTGAGATAGTGGTGGCAAAGAGAACAGGCTCTTGCTCTACGATGCCTATCAGTGACCGCAGCCACTGGATATTCAGGCTCCTAATGTCATGGCCATCCAGGGTGATCTATGAGTAATGATAGCTTAGCCTATGTCATGCTAAGTAGAGTTAGCCCATATGGATGCATATAGTAAACAGGTATATTGTGGTGTGGCTTACCATTCCATGTTTGGGATCATAAAATCTCTGAATGAGTTGAACTGCTGTACTTTTGCCAGATCCACTAGGTCCAACAAATGCTGTTGTCTCCCCAGCTTTAACCACCACATTTAAATCATCTAAAATCTACAACCAAAGAAAAAATATATAAATAAATATAAAAAATAACTTTATAATACACAATTCGCATCAAATAAGCAAACAAGAAGGTTTTTTTTTATCAAAACAAAGGAATCTAACCTTCACTTCAGGTCTGGAGGGATAGTTGAACTCAACACCATGGAATTCAATGTCACCTTTCACTCTCTCTAATTTGTGCCCATCCTCTGAGAAACAATCAATCTCTGGCATCTGTGTGAGCACAAAGGTTGGCAGTGATTAATTCTTCCTTCACCAGAAGAGAGTGAGGTTTATTGATTTTGTGACACTGTTAGTGAACTGTTTGCACCACTGTGAGACTTACTCTGTCAATGGTGTCAAAGATGCTCTTGGCTGCAGCACGTCCAGAAGCAAAGGCCTCTAGACATGGGGACGCCTGACCCAGATTCATGGCTCCCATAAGTACTCCAAAGAACACCTGGGATTAAACAACAGCCAAACACATCTGCTTACTGTGCTTTTAAATGCAAATGATAAAATACTCAATGTTGAACTCTTACAGTGTTCATTTGAGTCCAGATGGACTTTACACTGTAGAAAAAAAACATATTTAACTCTGGGAATTTTACTGTGGTGATGGTTGGTTCAATGTATGAAGAACTTGTAGAGCTCTTAATTCGGTATCATTACCAGATGTAAAACTTCAGTAGTAAATTAAGTAAATGGACCAATATGTGCTTCTGTTAGAATGGCTTGTACCTGGATGAGGGTTCCAGGTGTGAGCTCCTTCGTCTCAATGACAAGCTTGGAGCCATACCAAAATGCTAGGGCATAACAGAAGAAGATGATGCACCACAGGTAACCCTGAAATATGCCAATGATTACCCCTTTCTTCACCCCCCAAGTCTGAGCCTCTTCAAGGTTCCTGTCATATCTGGAGACAACAAAAATACCTTCTTCATACAACCGTTTGATACATCTAAGACAGGCAAAGACAGAAACAGACATTAGATAGTACCTGTCAGTCTCTTTATCCTCTCCTCCAAATGCTGCAACTGTTCTGATGGAGGAAAGAACTTCATCAGCTATGGCTCCAGCTTTAGCGTAGGCCTGCAGCTCACGGCCTGTCAGCCTCGCAACCGCCTGCAAATACACAGCAGCATACATTACAACTTAAAACTATAAAGCCTGACTTAAAGTCTTTTTTGCTCTTGTTGTTAATGTTACAGTGATACTGAGCAACTGTTGCATTGTTCTGAATGAATAAACACTGACCATGGCCATTAGTCCCGCAGCCAGTCCAATCAGGGGGCTCACTGCAATTACAACCAGTGTAAGTTTCCATCCTCCAACAAAGCCCACCAGAAAGCCAAAGATGAATGTTGAGAACCTTTCAATGAAGATGGCTACCTGGTCTGCTATTGCACTGTTGATTTTATTAATGTCACTGTTTACATAAAGAGAAAAATACACAATTACAAATATATATATATAAAAAGACAATGACACTTATATGACATAAAGAAAGGCAAAGCAACAAAGCTTGTAAATGTAGATTTTAGCTGTTATATTTCATTTATTTATTAAAAAAAGGTTATTTGAATGTTACTCAGATATCCTTGTGTTCAGTTCCCCAACAGACGTGCAATCAAACCAGCCAATCTCCATGCACATGATTTTCCTGAAGTATTTTTTTCTGATTCTTTGTGTTTGCCTTGCAGCTGCAGAAACCCAGAAGTAAATCTGAAATAAAAGAGAGGGCATGCTGACTGTTTAAACACAAGCATTATTGAAAAGTCATTGTCATTGTTTATCATAATTGCATGATAAAGATTGTCAGATACAATACAGTGTTTTTACCTGAAAGTAGCTAACAATTAGCACTCCCAGTCCAATGCCAATATAGTAATAAGCAAACATGGTCATTTGTGCCTCAATATCCACCCTGTGCATGAAAAAAAAGTAGTAAGAGAAAAATAATTTGCAATATTGTAGGCCCTGTGACCAACATGTGTCATATGGTACAAACAAAAACCCCATCCAAATCCCATACAAATCAAAATCTAGTCAGTTCTACAGCACTCACCCACAGCTTACAGTGTTATTATCTTCCTGCTCCACCACAGACCCATTAGTCCAAGTCACAGTGTTATTGATGCAGGTTTTGTTGGGATCAGCCAGTTCCTGGATCTCCAGCTCGTAAGCCACAAAGGTGTTGGTCATCATGCTATAGACAAGCAGCATGAGAGGGGAGGCAGCCCCATGGATGAGCGCACACAAGCCCCCGACCACCATCATCACAATGTCTACCCATGTAGCAAAGCGGAACAGTTGAAAAAATCCAACTCCCAGATTCTTTTCTTTGTTTTTGTCCTTCTTATTCCTTGAAATGTGAAGATAAAGTTACATTATTAACTACTTATAACCATTATTATTGTTCTTATTATTCCTCTTTTATTGTATTTAAATTGAAGTATTTTTTTATTATAAAGATCCAGTACTCACCTTTTTTCAGTGGCTGTGGTATAAAATATTAAAAAGGTTAGTTGCACTATCGCATTCTTTTAAATAGAGAGATAACAAAAGACTCTCTTATCACATTTCAACATAAAAAGCTACAGGCCTTACCTTCATCACCTTCACTTGCTTTCACACTTTGGTGATCTGTGCTCTGATGAGCTTCCTTCATGTTCAGTAAAATCCTTGGTTCAGTAACCCTACTGGGACTAACACCAACATCAAATTAGATTTTGCATATACATGTTAGAGATGTAAACATTTGTTTTCTTATTTATGTTATGAAAATACACAACTACACCAAAACACCATCCAACACCATCCACCTCTCATCTCTACCTGAAGTTTTATGTCCAGACTTTGACTATATGGTGGTGTGCCAAATGTACTTCACATACTATTTTCTGTATCAGAAATATAAGATTTCCAATAATCTTAATGAATTAGATGGATTAAAGATGAATTGATGAAAGATCAATTAATAATTTTTCTTATAAGATAAAACAAGAAAACAGTCTAGTCATGTGTACCTTTGAACCATGGGGAGACAAAGTGCTTGGCAGCAGCAACCATGCAAGTCATTATGTAATCAATAAATGTTTAATACCTATAAATGTATGTCGGTCTAGTCATTTCGGTTATTTTAACCTAAGATTCCTGACCTGCATACCTCACTCCTATCACTTATTAATAACTCAGCCAGTTTTCATTGTTTTCCTTGAAGCTGATGAATAATAATCATTAAGATGTGATAAATGTGTGAAAGGTTAAACATGCCTATAGTAATTAGAATTATGAAGAGTTATTAGACTTTCTGTGGTTATTTTGGATTGTATACTGTGTTAATATCCCCCTAAGCGGTTCTTCAAAGGATTCTTTAGCAAAGGCAACAATTACGTATAGAAGTGTGAATACTTAAACAATCATTTGAATGAATAAATGGTTCTTTGCATGGGTAAATTGATGGAAAACCTGTTGTATATGATTCTTTAAAGAACAGTTTTATATAGAACTAAAAAATGGTCGAAGAACTCTTTTTGCTAAGAGTGCGCCAGGCAGTTTTCTAATAATACCATAACAAGAATAACTTAAAGGGAAAAATGTTTCTATCTGTTTTATGCATTGATTAATTTGGGCTTCATTAATGTGGACTATTTTGTGGACTATAATTTTGGATTATGAGAAAGATAAAATGAATGGAAAAGTATTTACCTGTTTCTGTATATCCTCAGGAGTTTCCAGGCAGGGTCTGTACAGAGTATGGTCACTATCAGTGAGTATAACTCTTCGGTTGGGTTTATGCTATCAGTGTCCAGTCCACGCCTTCATGACTGTCTGCCCCTCTATTAGACTGATAAGACATTACTTCTATCAGGCCTTTGACAAGCCCAAGGTCTTCGGAGGTTCAGAGGTAGACTACGCTTTCTTAGAAGATAAATATAGTGCTGTACAAAATATGTTAATACATATACTGTGCTACCAGTTTTTCTAGGCCTGCCTTCACTCATTGTATATTGAATAAATGGACTTCTAATGGTAGTGTACTAGTTTTGACATACTATTTAGTATAGTACAATGTAGTTTAGGATGCAGCACTGGAGTTCCCAGTATAGGCATGATGCTAACTACAGAGTGATGGCACAATTTCAGGGTGTATTAGACACACCTTGCTCATCTTTGTCCATGTACAGTTTGTGTGAGTCATTGTCTAACTCACTTCCGTCAAGCAGGAGCACACCTGAGCACTTGTTTAATCAGTTGGTCTCCAATTGATTAGTTATATGAGCTGTTCTCCTGCGTGGTTGGAATGAAAACCGGCAGCCAAACCGGACCTTTGTGGATAAGATTGTTGGCCCCTCCTCTAGCTCTTCATCAGAGTTTCTGAGCACAAGGACTATTCTCAACCCATCAGTGACACTCACTGATTTAAAAACTCCAACAATGCTGCTGTGCTAAGAATGATCTACCACCTGATTAATATCTGGTCAGTTATGGTCATATGGTGGTTCTCTTATGGTGATTTTTTTCTTTAACATTTCATTGTTATAGTTTGACATCCTGAAGGCATAATTGTTAGGAAGGTGGAATGAGAATTTATTCACAACAACTCATAGATAATAATGTCACTGAGGGTCAATCAGAAACTATGTGGTTGAAGAGGTCCCACAGCCCGCAACCACAGCACTGAGGCCACTTTGGACTGTTTTCCTGCGGTCACTTCAGTGCTCCTGTCTTTATCGTGGCTGAAAGCAGAGTTGTTCATGTGCCTATGCCTATGGCTGAAGGTAAAACTGCTCCTGTCTTGCTACCCACCAATAAAGGTAAAGCTGCTTCAGTTCCCTGCCAGCATCAGAGGACACTGTCACAGGAAAGCCAGCATCAGAAGTTGTTGCAACATTGCTGTGTATGATGTCTCCGGTGCAAGCTCCCCGGATTTTTTCAGTGCTGGCTCCCAGGACTTCTTCGGTTGTGGCTCTCCAAACTACTTCTGTGCTGGCCCCTAGTTCCTTGCTAGGCTAGCCTCTGAATGGCCGCTCAGCCAGCACCTCAGTTTGTCTAGTGTCCAGTCCTCATCACCATCTCTGCTTGCCCTTGTCACTGTGTTGGTCCCTTTCCCAGTTCCAAGCCCTGTTAATGTTTCTGTCCCTGTCCTTGTGTCTGTATTTGTCCTAATTCTTGTCACTGTTCCTGCTCCTATCCCAGTTCCTACTTCCATCTCTCAATTTATAAGAATAGATTTGACAGCATTAATAAATAATTTGAAACTTTGAAGATTGTCTTTTTCCAGAACTCCTCTGAAGTCTCATGAGGCTGAGATTAAATGGGTTGAATGCCCTCAATGCCATTAGTCCATCAGAAGGTACAGGAAGGCACAATATTACAAAAGTACAGGGTGTGGTGTGATGTGGCTCTCATGGACCTATGCTTTATCATTTGTTACTATTTAATAATCTTTAAATGAGCACATAATGTCCATAATTCATGCATGGTCTTGAGGTCATTCAACTCATTTTGCAATCACACCATACCTTCTTAATAACACTGTTTGAAAGTTAAAATGAATGTTTAATTCTTTTCCTCTTTGTCAGTGTACTATATGTGTGTTGTGTATTGTATTGTCCCTTAGTCCCTTAGGCCCAGCCTATCTTAGAATGTTCTGGAATTATGAACACAAATGTAGCTGCTATACACTGTTCAGAAAGGTTTGTCCTGATTTTCTTCTCTTTTGTGTTTTATTCTTAGCCTGCAAAAATTCAGTGTTGTTTAATTTTCATTTGGTCATATTATTCAGTGCTTAAAATCATGTTGAAGTCTTTTTAATGAGAAAACATCCTGTACCATACTTTAAATATTAACTGAATGATTGATTAATAGAAAATAGCTGATTACTTAGTAATATATATCACAATTAAATATTTTACAACCACCATGAGAGTAAATACACAAATATGTGAGCTGAGATATGCACTGCAAGAAGTTTACAGTAGATGTATCTATGTACATAGCTTATCAATAGGCTAATACATGCATAACTGCCAATTAACTATATGTTTTATTATTCAATTTATACACATGATATTCATACACAGGGCTCTATATATTCTATGTATTAATTACAACACCATATGTTACATAATGAAACTGTTAAACAACACAGCGTACAATGCTTTGACTCAGCTGTTCATTGTTTTATGGTAAATGTGTGAGAAATGAATAAATGGGTAAAACGATTATGATATTTTAATTTGAAGCACTACTGCTGACATAAAATCTTAAAAAATGTCTGTTTCTTTCAGAGTCACTAATCTCATCTGACCTTTTCTTCAATTCATAAACTCATCTACTCTCAGATGAGAAGAGGAAAAACAGGTTTTTTACACAAGAAGATCCTTGTCTCCTTGTAGTTTAATGTATGAGGAATTATTCACCATGAACTCTGTACTGGAATGTGAAGAATGTATTGAAATATTTGATTAAAGATTAAAATCTACGTCAGAAAACTCCTTTCTTAGTTCTTAGTCAGACAATGATACACTTCAAGACAAATATCTCAGGTCAATGCTCGCTCGGTGAACACCTGCTGAACATAGCTGCACTTAAACCTGCTTTATCAGTTATTAATTATCTCTTGAACTGATATCCCACATACTTTTTGTATCTGTTTAATATGGCAAGTCATAAAACTTGCATCATGGGCCTGATTGGTTGCTGTGTGCTTCCCGACAGGGGTGAAAAAAGTACTGAAAATTCCTACTTAAGTAAAAGCAAAAAATTTGTGAGAGTGATATTTTACTTGAGTACAAGTAAACCTATTAACCTACAAGGCACAACTTGACATTAAGTCTAAAGGAGAAAAGACATATAACTTTTTTTCCAGCTGGTAAAATGTGAACAAAATCCTTGCCTGTGGGCACAGAGTGGAGTCTGAACAATAACATACTGTAATAGGGTTGCTATACTTCAGTGCTTATATGCTGTAGGAGAGTAATGATAAATGAGTAATTTGATGCAGATGACATTAAATAGCTACCATTAATTCAATTATAACAAAATCCTTGGACAAAGGGAAAGCCAGAAAGGTTAGAATGTGGGTGAGAGACCAGCTTTTTACCAGTAGATTACAGGAAGGTAGCTTATTTTAGTGACTAATGAGTACAGACCTTTATTATAGGAAAACATTCCTTTTTTGTAATGAAAATAAATGTAGCACTGCTTTCTGGAGGAACTATATTGTATTCCCCACTCAATACTTGGTTGTGGTGAGAAGGATTGACAGTAAAATTGACTTTGATTTTAAATTCTTGGGTCAATGTCTCAGAAAGTGATTCTTCCATTCCAACTGCAGGAAACATCCAGTGCAGATTTATTCATGACTTTAACACACAGTTTTGATTAATTTATTTTTATTTCTGATCATTTATGATGATTATGTATTTTTAAACGTTTGATGATCATAAGAAGTGTGAACTGCTTTCAGTTTTCTACTGAGAAACTGTTGTTGTTGTTATTATTATTAGTATTATTTTTTTAAGTGTTATATAAGTTCAACAAAAAATACAGGTGAATACACAAAAATCATAACATGTAAAAAGTACACATACATTTAAAAAAAAGGTTCTATTAAATCTCATGATAGTTTTAATGGCTTTTGTATTCTTAAAAAAAAATAATTCAATGTAAAAGTTTACATCATTCAGAAAATGAAGGAAATGGGGTTTGTTCTTTGTTCATTTTGATTCGTGTAAGTAGTAAATGGCTAAAATTAAAATAAGATTAGAATCAAGGATCGAGTAAAAAAAAGGGTAGATTTCTTTTGTTTTATGATAAAACAAATTAGACACCTTCTTCAGGCTGGAGATCACAAAATGATCACTCGATCCACGGAGAGAAGATCCTGAGTAGGAAGCAGGGTTGTCCGCACATCAACAGCGACCTTTGGCGGTCACATATATTACAACGCTCACAGATTTTTTTTTTAACCCCGGAAAAACCATCGACTCATTCTCTGAAGAGACTGAAAAGTCATCGTGTGGAAACTACAAGTCTACAGCCATTCATTCAGTGTTCAGCGAAGAGGTAGGCAGACAGCGCACTTGATTTTACTCTGTGAACTCTTCAGACTGCAGGAAAATAAGGGCTTAAATGAGCTACTGCTTAGTAAACAACACTGTTTACTCTGTTTCTGGATTTTGGGCAGATCCGTTTCCAGACCATGATCAGATTTGAAGAATAGAAAGAAAGAAAGAAAGCAATCACATTTCCAAGCGTTGTAGTGTAAGGAGGTCAGCATTACGTCGTGAGCAATTTGCAGTACTGTTGTTTATTTCCTTACTTACTGTATGCCTTTGACCATAACACGGACCATTATGTTGTGGGCGAAACTTAGCTGCACCCTCTCCAGGATCTGCGGGTGAATGTTAAAAAACACGCATGACTTGTTTTACAAAAGGGATAGGCAATTCTAGCCCTGTTAAACCTGTACCGTTCAGCTAAAAATTTTGAGAATTAAGCTTGATTTGAGTTCTTGTGGATGCAGTTTGAATTGCAAATTACACCCCACAGTTTTCAGACCACTAAGCCCACAGTTTACAGTCTTGTTAATGGTTAACTAGCCTGGTTACAATATATTTACAGCTGCACTGTGGTGCCCCTGTGATCCAAAGCTACACTACTGTCTTACTTAACGTTGTTTTTTTTTTTTTGTCTTTCATTTCTGAATTTTACCTCAGTCTGTCTTCACTTAACTGGTCAAACTGTTAGCAAGTTGCAATTAACATGTATTTAAAAGTTCTGTCTTTATCCCCCTGCAGATCCTGTGGAAATGTTTCTATATATCTTGGGT